TAGGTTAAAATTATTGTGCAGCTTAAGATTAGTAGAGGTTTTTATATAATATAATATATATTGAACAATTTATTAGAGTATCCGATCCCGTTTACTTAGTACGTCTTTGATATATTGCATAAGGCGTTATATAACTATCTGTTATAAATATAACTTTCCAAAAAAAAAAATTCATTGGTTATGTAGTTGCCGAAATATCTTTGCCTAAATTTAAAAAAAATTTAACCGTTTACAAAACATCTCTGACCAAATTTTCAAACTTAGGCGAAGCTATCTTAGAACCATATAACAGTATAACAATTTTTTTTTTTTTTTTTATTTTATTTGGATTCTATGATTTAGTAGATTTAAAATAATCAAATTTCAGTAGACAGTTATCGAAATAAAACATTTAAGCGTTTGTTAAAATATCAAATCTGTAGCAAAGTTTTGAGCAAAAAATATCTTGGCAACCACATAACTAAGTTCAATGAAAAATTTTTTATTTAAATTCTATTATTTTGTAGAATCAAAATAAAAAAATTCTTTGAACCTAATTAGGTATATGTCAAGATATCTTCGCTTAGTTTTATTAATTTTATTAGCTTTATTAATCTTGATACCTTTTATCAGTTTTGCTATCTTTGTCTATTTGTCTTTTTAAAACTTTTTGACAAAAGACAAAGCCTAAAGGCTTGATCATTGATGAAACTTTTAGGTTTTGTCTAATACTGTAACTAGTATATTCTTAAAAAATTTTTTATAATAGTATATATGAATATTTTTTTTGTATTTTAATGCATGCTCAATGGTATAAATCTTTGTTGGTTCTTTAGTTTTTATAAAAAAAAAAAAAAAAAAAATTAAATAAAAAAATTTGTATATACTCTAAACTACGTTATGGAACAATAAATTTCTTAAACTCAGGATCCTGTTCCATGATTTTTAATTTTTCAGTCTGTAAACTAACGTAAACTTCTACTCCATTCTCGACACCAAGAATCATATATAACCCATCAATTGCATATTCCGGCATACATCTCTGTTTTATAGGAGGTCCATCGCCAAAATCTATTAAATTATGCTTTTGAAATTTTGACCAATTGGCTATTCCAAAATCTTCACCATTACACACAACACTTGCCGAAATCAACGATTTATCTGGTTGTTGTTCAACCCAATCAATTATTGATCGAATACGACTATCATTCATATCTTTAATGGCTTTTCGAACTTGAAGTGCTGCTGAAGATGGTGAACCGTCAATTAATTGAGAGACAAGCATTTTTGGACATACTTGACTAAACATAAAATAATATAATAATAATGTTATTTTTAAACGTAATAATAATGATAATAATAATAAAACAATGATAATAATAAACGAGTTAAATATATTTACAAAACAACATTTCCATAATAACTTTTGGGAATAGGTGGATTTAATGTATCACGTCCATTAAGAGGAAAGCTACAGATTACTTCAGCATTTAAATCAATATTTCGAGCTCTAATAGTTGTTCTCCAAAAGTGAGTTACAAGTGCGTCATTTGTTGAAATCCAATTCTCATTAGAAATTCCAACAGAATAATAATCGCGTAACCTCTGAAGAACATCTTGGTTAAAGCGAAAAATTTTGGTAGTTATAGAAGGCGTTTGTATGTCTGAAATGGTAATTTCTGTCGGTTTCTTTACAAAATATTCATAAGGAACATATGCTGGAGGGTTACCACTTGCTTTTAACAAACTTCGATCATGGATAGGTGGATCAATCTGTTCTAAACGAGTTTTTCGCCCCCAATTTTCAATAAAAGTAAAAAGACCAAAGCCATCTGTAACATAATGATGTATACCAAACCCAAGGGTTACTGATCCATCAGCAAAAGTAGTGTGTTGTATTATAGATAAAATTGGATCAGTTTTATTAGGTATTGTTGTTGGCATTAGTCCGTAAGGAATAATTGCATGTTCCCAATTCTTTTCTTCAAGTTGATTAATTGTAATGTCAGAACATTCAGCAATGATAAATTGAACACCTTGATCATTACAATCAATAATAATTCTACCATCGGACGTACTTTTAAGTGTACCAGCCAGAGGATAATAATCATTTAAAACATCCCCAAGTGATTCTAAAAGTTTTTTGATGTTCATAAAATTATCTTTTTTTAACCCATTTTTAAAAAAATAAACAAACCCAGTATATATTGGTGGTGAGAGAATGTCACAATTAGAAAGTGGAATTTGAACATGCTTCGTTGGCCTGGTTGGCTTAACGTAAAGGGTCTCCTTAATTATGGCTGACATTTTGAGATTTTAAACAAAAATCAAACTTGAATATATACAGTTCAAAAAATTTCGAAATTCGTAATAAATAATAGTGATAAAGGGTGTTTTTCAATTTTTTAAATTTATATTCATATTGAATATATAGACGATCTACTATTTCATTAACTTTTTATTATTTAGTTCATTTCACCTTTAACTGTGTAATTTATGAACGAGGACAATTATGAAAGATTCTCTTTATTAAGAAAAGGTCAAAGGGCATCCAATCTCTAACATCAGAGCAGATGAAAGACCTCGTATAGCCTAACGATCTACTTGAGACATGAAATCTATCGGGCTAAGAACTAATTTTAGGAATAATATCTAATATCGGTAACCATATTAGGAAACCTATACATCCATCCCAACTAACACCTCCAAAAAAGTAAAGGCCGATTTACACTGACGAATTGATTATAACACCGTGTTACCCTCCGTAAGCCTATCGCCTTCCTAAATCTTCAAAGAAGAAATCTTTTTTCTTAAAAGTTAATTTTTTAGTGTTAAAGTGTTGAGGGCTAGGATTTTTTAGGATAGAGTTATTAGGATGCAAAATTAGGATTTTGTATTGCTGTATTGTAGAGCTCAAAATATGGACAAGCCTCATTGGGGTGTACGGTAAACTAAGTAAAAAAAAACAAAAAAAAAAACAAGAAATTACCGTATACTGTTCATACGTGCTGAGTTCTTCTATTTTCATTAAAAAGAACGTAAATTTAAAATCCCAACTTGATGATTCAGAATCAATTTATTTCGGGTGCTTGAAAAAAATTTTTTTTTGAATTTCAAAATCAAATCAAAACTCTATGTGGTTATATAATAAAATTTATTAACAAAGATTGTTTAGATAATGATAAGTATTAACTTTATATCAAGTATTATGTCTTTACGAATAAAGCTATAGAGCCATTTCTTTTTATTAATTATGAAAAATTTTAATATACTATGCTTTTTTTTTTCTTAAGAAAAGGAGAGAGAACCTAATTTAGTTTCTTTTTTAAAGAAATGGTTCTATAGTTTGTTTGTAAAGACGTAATATTAGCCTTTACAAAACTTTATCTAAAACTATCGCTATGCATCTACTTAAAATTTTGCTATAATTACTATAAAATTCTTACCTATCTAAAAAATTTTCATTAATAAGTTTTATTACATGACCACATGTAGTTGATTTATATAGTATACTGCATACCCAAACACATCACTTAAATCGCATGGTTTGGCGTACAAATATTTACGCTAAAATTTTTAAAAGAAAATTGAGCTCTAAAAATTTTTTTTAGTAAAACTTCTATTCTAATTGGTTGTGGTGACGGCACACTCTACTGGCACAGCGTGGAATACTTCACGTGGCCTAAACAAAACTCAAAACTTTACCTAATATTTAACCGTGAGATGTGCTTTGCAACCGAACTTTGGGCCATCATATTTCTATAACATTGCCTAAAAAACCAATTATATAAAAGTTGGCCATGAAGAATCTTTGATCAACTTTATTGTTGCATCATGAAAGAAACCTGTGTGACGATCGTAAAGAATTTTTATAAGTGTCACGTGCAGGTTCCTTTTTTAGTATTAAATTTGGACATCAAACGATCATGTTAGAATTTTATGAAATGTAAATTATAAGCATCCAACATGTGGCACGCTTTTATTTTAGCTTAGAAAGTGGGGGTGAAGTAATAAAATTTTAAGTACATAATAGGTCTTTAAAAATTTTAGCGTACAAGGAATAATGCAAAATTTTCAAATAAAAATCATGTATTGCCTCCAGTTGGGCAATCGTCGATGAATATGAAATATCAAGAGTATCATAAATATCTATTGTTAAATACAGTCTGACCTCGTTATAGTCACTCTCAATATACAGTCTGACCTCGGTATAGTCACTCTCAATATAGTCACAACCTTGTTATAATCACACTATTTTTTTGGTTTGGCCATTATAAATCATATAAAATTTGACCTTTATTTAGTCACATTTTTGTTTCCCAACCTCGTGATTATAACGAGTCCAGACTGTAGTTTATATTTATTATTACATATTTCACTATTTTACAATTGGTTTTTTTTTTATTATTATTAAGGTAAATTTAAACTCAATATAATATGTAAAGCACTTAACGATTAGCGTTAAGTATTTGTGGAATCACTCTAATCACTCTTCAATAAATTAGTAATACTGTATAAAAAAATTATTTCCAACTATTAAAATATAAAGTCCTCTTAACATGTTAAATATTTCTATACTAATTAATTTTGTGAAAAGAATAAATATCCAGAATTAAGTATGTTCGAAATTATCAAAACACATGATCGTTTACTGTCAATTAGCCATAAGTACCAAATCAAAATGTTTTAAAAAAAAGTTTTATTCAAAATGTAGTAAACTGCTTCTTTAAATCATTTACTATAATGCACTCTAAATCAGGTTATTATTCTATGTAAGTATGACTTAGAACCGTACTTTTACTATATAATCTCATTGTTCCGACAGTTTTTAATTAATCTGGTTCATCTTTTTATTTCTTTGTATTTGTTTTCAAATAAATATTACATCAATTTTTATTTCGTTTTCCAATAGATTTGAATTAACGACCTGTGAAAGTTGGATTTAGTCAATTATAGGTGACCCCATTCAGTTGGCATAGGGGTGTGGCGATTTATTCTGTGACGAATAAACATTTACTAATTAATTGTATTAGTTGATTAGGCAAGTCCAATTTGATTCTCTGTTTTACATTACCCTCCCCCTCCTCAGCGCCCCCCTCTCCCTCATAGTAAAAAAATTTGGATAAATATACATAGGGTTACGGGATATTTCGGAAAATTTTTTAAGCAGTTCCGGAACAATTCGGAAAAAAAATTGAAAAAAAATTTAAAATTTTACTATGTAAACCACAAATTCTCCCCCTCCCCTCCTCTTCCAGAAGGGAGAGGATAATGTAAAACAGAGAATCTAATTGGTCTGGCCTTATTATTCGTCACATAGAACGTTTCGTCACGCCATCTGTGCCAAATGGAAGGATCGCCTTATAATAAACGAAATTTTACGTATTTCGTCTTTAAACACATCCATTTCATTTTCTGCTTTCGAAATTTTGATACACAAATAAGATTCTCATTTATTTCCAAATTTCGTTAATTTTGAACCCCTTTTAATAAAACAAAATAGCATTATTTTACCTGAAATATTAATAAGTTTTTCAATGTAAAAATAATCTCATATTCTCATTTCTTTAGTTCTTTATTAAGAATTATTTTTCTATTTTTAAAAAATTTTGTAAATTCATTTGGCAGTTTGTCTTTTAATAATTACTTCTATAATTGCTATTACAAGTTATATATAGGAATCTAATTTCCGTAATTCATTTTATGTTTAACAATGCTATTATGGAAGTGAGATTTTATAGTTGAGTATTTTTATATAATTATACGGTGTTGCGAATAGTTGTGGTGTATGATTGAGTAAAGCAGTGGTGTATACTACAAAAGTCGCATTTGAGTATATAAACTAGCATACTATACCCATAATATATATAATATATATGTATTAAAATAGTATAATTGCAAATTTAATACGTGACCTCACAAAAATTCTACAAAAGTTTATTTATTGTTATAATAAAAAAGCATGGTGGACAAACCTCGTAGCACAAACTTCCCACGCTGACTCAGGGTCGATCTGTCCAATAAAAATATGATAT